CTCTTTCTTCTCCTCACCGATGCTCTATCCTACTTCGTACTACTTGCTCCGTCTCTCGCGGTGTCCGCCAGGTCCGGGGGTGGGGAAGAATCGCGCGCTTGCGCCGTCCCTACCCGTCAGGCCGGCCAAACCAAGGAGGGGAAGATCGCGATCGCGTACCCGCCTCCGGCCGCAGCCTGTTCGCCTGTTCACCCGTTCGCTTGCTCGCTCGCTTTTCACTCGCTTCGCGCTCGCTTCTCTCGAAAAAGTCCGACCACCCGCTCGCCTGCACTACTTGCGCGACTTACTCGCCTCCTTTCGCCACCACCATCGCCGCCACCGCCGCCGCTGCCGCACCGCGAGTAGGCACCCATCCACCGGTGGACCCGCCACGTATGGACGACCAGGCGAGTCCCGCTTCTCGGTTCCGACGAGGAGTGAAGCGAGCGTGCGAATCATTGAGCCGGCTAGCGAACGAGCGAACGCGAGTCTACCGATAGCGTGAAAACGCCAGCTGGAATGGCTTTCCACGGCATCAGCGATTTTTCTGCGAGTTTTCTGCCAGATGCCTTCAGCTTTTGATCGCCTCCTTTGGGGGTAGACGAAACAGGCGAATACATGTTTTTGGAGGATTTTTGTTACCATGCTAGAAATGTCGATGAACTAATTTTGAAAGTGCGGTTGATTGAGGACTGTGCTTGCATAGGATTTCATTATATTTTTAGTTGGACGAGATAGTTAAGAATGGAAAAAAATTGCTGAAACGATTTCTCGTTTCGTTGGATTAATTTATGAACGGGCGAAATTTCGCAAATGTCCGCAGTCTAGTTATCATATTCCACACTACGGTTCAGTTTAATTATTTCGGAGGCCCGTACTTCTCAGGGAGAGTAGCGGTACACCTCTTCGCTCTTTTGCTACGCTGTACCTATTAACATTTTGGTTATCAAATTACTTGCATTTACAAGTCACAATTTTCTGGCGGGAGACGAGAAATTAATTCGTAATGCAAAATGCAAAGTGTGACGAGTTCGACTCGGATTGTTTGGGTTCGACGAAAATATTTAGTGGACTACATTAGTTTACAGTACGCAGCGCACATCGGACAACTTAATAACCCAGTTCGAGGTAAAAGTATCGGTGCCGCGCTGCGGTTACAATGACGCTTACTCGAATATTACACCAACAGAAAGGAGCCGGAAATCTGCGCGAAATACAACCTGGAAGTTTTAACAACGAGTTCAGTTGGGATTTAATGAAAAATATTTAATTCGGTAAAGCGCGAGCCGCAACGGAACGGTCGGTCGCGGAGAATGGCGCGTCGACTCGGCTGCGACCCGAATTCTTTGTTTCAATTCGAACGGTCTCATTTTCAAATGCTCCCGGTAAAAATATGCCCCGAACCGTAAAGAGAATCGAAAACCGAACGGATGAATCTTTTTCAACGTCCTCGAAGCTGTAGTTACATGCGAATTTTCAAGTCGCGAAATCTAACTTCGCCGGATGTAAAGGAATGGGAAACTTGTTTCGAAATTGCAGTAGGTTGAAACTATCGTATATCGAATGGAATCGCAGAAGAGGAATTTTATTAAGGCCATTTTATGGGCCCCCCAAACTGCAAAGCATCTCTGTATCGAGTGAAATGAATTTGATTTTTTTAATCACGTGGCATCGTGGTATGAACCATATCTTTTGTCATAGATATATCAGTGTTACCTTACAAAATGAAGAATAAGTTTATCAACGTTGAGGAATAAGAATACAAGGGTATTCGATTAATCCCATGGAACATTTTGACGCATTTTATGTCAAATTAAAATCTTCGGTTGAACATATTTGCATAAGCGCTACCAAAAATATCGCAATGTTATCAGAGAACCCGGTGAACGAAAACACGACGAGCCATTTATGGTAAAGCAGCTTGTCACTGGTATTAGACCACCTCGATGTGGTATGTGTGTTCTTGCCCTCGGCCGTGGAAGAACAAGTAAAGATCCCACGACCTTCCAAGACACTTGCACGCACGCATAGTTACACCGTCTCCCCCGTTCGTGTTACTATAATTTCTGTACAGCAGAAAAACCGTAACTGTCGTGCGAATAAGGAATTTGCAATTAGAAGCAATTCGCCGAAGAAACTGATTATCATCAATCAAGTTACACGTATCTGTGTATTCTTCGTTCGTGGACATATCCTCTTATTAATTGAACAAACAGCAATTTGTCATTTCACGTTCGGAGTGAAAAATTACAAATTGTTAAAAGTACATTATTTCTGTTGTCTAGAATATTCAAAAAAATGATTCATTACCATTTGTGTCTTCAAGCTTGGTACATTTATAACAAAAATATTATTTCCTACAAGAAAGGTTTATCTTTTTGTCAAAACGAACGCTGATCAAATTTCCCGAATATTTACATATCAACGTGTCGCGCTTTCATTGCACACGATTTGATTACGAAGGAAAATGCAACCGATTGATAGCAATTCTAGCAATCGATCCGCTACTCGAGAGGACTCTCCAACTGTCGATCATCCACGGTCGCCATTCGAAAAGGATTCCGCCGTCTCTCGCAGCTCTCCCCCCAAATAGAAGTAATCAATTGTGATGGAAAATGGTTGGCGTAGGAGCCAACCGTCCGAATCGAATCAAATCGGCATTC